ATGGTCCCTGCCATTTTTAAAGTCTGGTTCTGTACCTTTCTACATCTTACTTATGGACAGAAGCAACCCCACAATCCCTCATAATACTATTGCTGAGACAATCTATAAAGCCTATTTAGGGAGCTAGCACCATTAATAGTGTCTGGATAACAAGCCTGTGATCAGAACTCCTCAAATGAAGTTAAACAGTCTGGAAAATAGGCTGGAGATCAAAATGCATGCAAAAACAATCACAGCGTCTGTAGCTGGAGAAAGAAGAAAGGGAGACTGGATTAGTAATGTTATAGAATTGGTCAAAACAAAAATGACAGATAGGATCATGAGATCTGACTTCATAGAGCCTGAGTCTCAATCTTCCACTTGTAAGCAACATGTCCTCAGGCAAGTTTCTGAACCTCTTTGACTCTCTTTTTATGTGAAAGTGGAGGTAACATAGAACTTCCCTCAAGAGGATCTTGTATGAAGAAATGAGTGATGTCTACAGAAGTAAGCACCATATACTGGCACAAGGGAGGTAGATCCTCAGTCAAGGGAGCTCTCATTTTCTTATTGAGCAAGATCAAGAAGGTTATACTCAGGGGAGGAGGGGAGGTTGAAGCTGCAAAAGTCTGTCGCGATTACAGACACAGAGTTGAGGAGCTGCGGCATGAACATGCTCATCACTTTGCCTTGGGGATGCCTTGTACCTTTTATCTTTCTTTCCTTCCATCTGCATAAGAGCCACCTCTGGCTTCTCTGCCGTTGCCACCTTCAGATGAATTTCAAGCCACCAAACTATGAATGGATCCAGGGAGTCGCATTCTAAAAATATGTCTCCATAATTTCCCACATCTCCTTTCAAGGTTGACTGAAGGGCCACGTCACAGCACAACACAAAAGTCAGAAAGTCCACTTCATGCCCTTGGTTTCCTATGAACTGCTAGTGGTGAAGCAGTTGCATTTGCCCGGAATGGTGTGTACTAAAATAGGCAGTTGGAAATATTCCTGGCAGATGGTGCTAAATATAGATGTGGTGACAGATTGGCCCCATGGAGCAGATCCTCTACTGCTCGTTAGGAATGTGCCAGAGCCAACAAGCTTCTCTTCTAGCTTCTCCTTTCGGGAAGACTGTGGCAATGGCCCCAGGATCTCACCATTTCTAAGACTCGGTTGCTAAGACTCAGCGGGGGAAGGTACCTCTAGAGGCACAGCAGCACCATGTGAGAGGTTCCCAAGTTCTACAGGAACTGGGATGGAAAACTGGGGGTATATATGGTGGTATGATGGCCTGAATTCTAATTCACCGGTCCTTCAGAAGGATGATCTATTCTCCCAAGAGATCTACATGAGGAAGCCTGATGGATGGATGTGGAGGCGGGAGAGCACAGTGATTTTAGGTAAGGGAGGAGGGGTCAGTGCCAAGATCTGAGCCATGCTTTTGTCTCTTCCCAGCAGTATAAACTTGGTGTCTCTGAAGAATGGAGATAATAATGGTATCTATTTAGTATGAAGATGAAATAATATGATGTTGGTAAACGCACAGACTCTCACATACAACTCTTGCAGAGATGGTAGCTATTTTATTTTAGATTAGGAAGAAGTAAGAGATACTTCAAATGATTGAAGGTGTTAAGACTTACAAAGATAAAATTTAAAATAAAGTACAATGGCAACCTTTTAGTTTCTCTGTGTATCAAGATTGTGCCTGGAAAAAGCAGCACCATAATTACCCAGGGGAAGCAGTCCAAGAAGTAGGCAGGTGTTGGGGGTGGAAGATATGGCTTTCCATGGGTGGGGGACATTTTAGGAGCCTAACCTTAAAAAGAAAGGTAGCTGGGGCTGGGAAGGTGGCTCAGTGGTAGAGCGCTTGCCTTGCATGCCTGAGGCCCTGGGTTCGATTCCTCAAGCACCACATAAGCAAAAAGAAAAAAATCCGGAAGTGGCGCTGTGGCTCAAGTGATAGAGCGCTAGCCTTGAGCTGAAGAGCTGAGGAATAGAGCCCAGGCCCAGAGTTCAGGCCCCATGACCGGACCCAAAAAAAAAAAAAAAAAAGAAAGAAAAAAAAGAAAGGTAGCTATGCACTAAGATCATACAAAATGATGCTTATCAAAGTGAACTCCAAGAAATAGAAACAAGTTTGTTTTTTAAAAAAAATAAAATTTTTTTGTTCTTTTTTTCCCCCCTTGTTTTATTTTTGCAGTTTTTCCCCTGTTTTTTCCTTTTCATTGTTTTTTTTCTGTACTTTTTGTCCTGTATGTTTCTTTATCTGCTTTGGGGAGAGGAAGGGGAAGCACAGAAATGTCGAGACAAAGGGTGCACTAACTGAGCAGTGACACTCACTAGACACCCTGCTGGAAATGAACTATACAACTTGGGGGAGGAGGTGAGTCATAAGGAAACAATCTGGGAGAAAATGAGGGAGGGATGACACTGTTCAAAAAGAAATGTACTCAATACCTGACTGAGTAACTGTAACCCCTCTGTACATCACCTTTACAATAAAAAAATTGCATTAAAAAAAAAGAAACGTACTCATTACCTGACTCTGAACTGTAACCCCTCTGGACATTACGTTTATAATAACAATAAAAAAGATTAAGAAAGAAAGCTAGCCCTGTTCTGTTATAACAGTAAGAATGGAGGATGTTAAATAGTACGAAATTTACTGACTTCCATATGTAAAATATTTAAGACACCTAGAGGATTTCTCCTAAAACTTTTACGATGGAGCCTGCCAGTCTGTGGCGAGTGGAATGAAGGACCAGAGGAGGTCCTGTGCTCTGCTGCTCCTCTGAGCTTCTGGTTTCTTTCTTTCTGTCCCATTTTGTTCCTTCAATTCTTTGTGTTATGATTCCTGAGAGTTCATGCTCTGTGTGGTGCTAGGACTAGGTATGGAAGGCTAATTAAATGTTCACTTGTGAGTTGTTATCAAGAACTAGAATACTCCTGGCAACTTAAATTCTGCCCACTGCAATCAGAGGAACTTTTTTAGACAATTTCCTCAGTAGGGGATTGTGGTAAAGGCAACATCTGCAGTCAGATGAATCATCTAGGCTCATGCTCCAGAAATAACAGACCACTATATGGTCTTCATTGTACAAATTTCCCCATGTCCTTACATCTTGTATTTGTTAGGGCAAACTAACTGCTGTACAAACATACCTCAATACTGAAGAACAAAATTATTTTTCTCTTGAGCAAAGTCTGTTAACACTGGGATGGGGAGATGTGGGATAGGCTATTTCTGATCCACAGAATAATTGAAGGATTCAGGTTGCCTGAGGCCCTGCCAATAATAAGGTGGCTTAGAAGGCACATAAGAAAACCACAGTAGGGAGATGGCATACCTCAAGCTTAAACATGGTACCCATCACTAAATGTAATGCAAATGAGGGTAGGATGTATAGCTTTACTGTAAGCTCAGGGAGGAAAATGAAATAGGAATTTGGGTAATCATGTAATGGTTCTCTTTGACAATGCTTCTCTCTTTCTCACTTGCTCACTCACTAGGTAGTATATATGCAGATATGGAAATATCGTAATGAAAGAATCTGTATAATTAGGGTTCTTTGATCAAGCTCACACTTTTAATTTTTATTCTCCCTCTCTTTCCTTTTTAAAACAATTTAATGGCTTATTTTATACTCGTTCTTCTCCTGCTCTGACCTTTTGAAAACTATTTTGAAGGATTTTAATATTCAACTTCTATTGTATGCATAAGAAGTACTTCAGTCATATTCACCCTTCCTACCTGCTGATTCCCCAGCCCAAGAGTAGCTTATTTTACATTCACGTCATTCTTTCTTTTTAAGGTATAGATACCACATATGAGAGAGAACTTAATATATTTATCTTTTTTCAGTCTGGCTTATTTCACTTAACATCGATGATTTCCAGTTCCATCCATTTTCCTGCAAACATTATTTCATTCTCCTTTATGAATGAATAGTATCCCCAAACAGCACACATTTTAAACCATGATTCCAGGCTGATTCCATTGTTTGGCTATTGTACATAGTGCTGCTTTAAACATGGGTCCAGCTTCAGTTGTGCACGTTTGGATATCCAGTTCTTCAATACGAATTGTTGAAGAAGCCATCTTTTCTCCAACACATGTTATTGGTGCCTTCAACAAAAATCAGATGGCTGGATATTTGAGCCTATTTCTGGATCTTGTACTCCTTTCATTTGGTCTCATCTCTATTTTTTGAAGTGCTAATTCAAGAGACATTCTAAAGAGGTTGTTTAGAGAAATTATAGGACTTTTTCAACCCCTGCCCCTTTCTGTTTTTACCTAGTTTTTGTATTGGACTTACTAATGCTTGCCTCAAAACTGTATCTCTTGCCACTTAAGCTTTAAAATCAGAGAATATCACAGCTCCCCCACCATGAGCCGAGGGATGATCTGTCCCTCATAGCCTAAGTCTGCTTGTAAATAGAAAAAAATACCAATTGTTCCTTTAAAACCTTGTTTCACTCAATGCAAGACTCAGAGCTTCTGCACTCTGTATAATTGCTGGAATTTTAGCAGAAAACTGCTATAAATACTTCTCCAATGCTGTTTGAACCTATTTTCTCAACAGATTGCAAAAGAGCTCAGTACACAAAAGCAAAAACAGATCTGGAATGACATGGAATAGCTCCCCAGAGTTTTAAGTAGAAATCATCAGATACTTTCCTCATTTCTACTAGAGAAAGTTATAGCCATTGATATAATAATATTTGTGTGTTTACAGTATTCTCTTACCTTTATGTGCATTTTAAAGGCATTAAAATTTTCTATAATATTAATAGAAGTAAATCATATTGTTAGGGTATTAAAATCTGAACTAAAACTCCACTGTGGTTGAAAATTTCTGTAATACTGTTAAGGGTACAATCTTCTGCTATGGGTAGAAACAAATCTAAGAAAATTTAATATACTGTGTATATTTCTGACACATTTTACACTTTATTACATTTAGATTTTTTTCAGTGTTTTTTTACATAGACCAATAGATCTGAAATTTTGCTGTGCATAAAAATCACAGGGAGAGATGGTTATACAGTATAGATTCCTGGAATCTTCCCATATCTCTTGAATATCAGAGGTAGTCTTCAGGAATGTATATATTATTAACAGGTTTGTTGAGTGGTTTTGATGCACACCAGCACTTGAGTACTTTGTCTTCACATCTTGTAGTGTCTGATCCGGTATTCACTCGATACTTAATAAATCCTCGGTGGACGAATGAGTGACTGAATAAACCAAAGAAAATATACTCTTACAAATAAACTTGTTACTGTGACTAAGGAACTCAAGTAAAAAATCATTGGTAATTTATTGCCACAGATATCAAACACAAAATGTAAAATAACTGCATCACCAGGAAAAGTGCAATAGTCATTCCACTTTATCTGCATACAAAGGAGGAGGCAACAATGTTCAATAGGAAATGTACTCATTACCTTGCTCATGTAACTGTAACCCTTCTGTATAGCATTTTTACAATAAAAAACGTTTTTTAAAAAAAAAAAAACCTTTGGTATCTTGTACCAGCATTGTACGTCCCAATTACTACCAGCCAACAAGTCATGGGTGAATAACAGCATCACCAGGTGGGGTGTGTCAACTTGGGGAAGGGTTAGTACAAGGATTAGGGTGAAATAATTTTGATGACAACATAGAGTACTATTTACACAAAGTCTCCCTGATTATGAGTCTAAGCAGGCCAGGCTGAGAACTATTTATCTAGTGCTAAGAACAATTTCAGGATTGTTAAGCTAATGAGAACTCATTATGAAATGGCAGGTAATTTACAAGGAGTTAGACTCTCCAAAGCCAGTACAATCACATGCTTTCAAAGAGGTATCACATGCCTTCCTGGATATATCTTCTTCCCAGCTTTCCTCCTACCTCCTAGATGGTCCTGGTCCTTCTCTGTTTTAAGCTCATCATCCATTCTCAGCCATTCAACATTACTGTTCCTTAGTGTTTTCTCTTGGACCCTTTCAACTTCTCAACTCTCTAGGAAATACAACCCATCATTACATATTTCTACGTAGCTCCCAATTGGTTTTTTCTAACTTCTTCCCTAGGCTCCCATTGGTTATACAAGCCCTTTGAGAAAAGTTTAAAAACTTATGCTAAACGTTTTATGAGAAAAGAGAAGTATCCCTCTTTGAATTGAATAAGTATATAAATTTTAAATAAAATCTTTTGACATGCCAGTTACATGTAAAGTACCTTGCTATCATATGTCAACTTCCCATTAATAAGTACATGCTGGGATTTATTTCTTAAGATGTTGTATGATGCCCAAAGACATTAATCCTTTCAAAGGCTACATCAAGACACGGATCTGCGTAAATAGTCACACTAGGACAGAATGGTTTTGGTCTGGGAGCTAGAACTATTGTCAATCAGCTGCCTATGGCTGCCTCCCACTGACTCAGGAAAGAAAGGTACACAGATAGGGGAAAACCTATCTTTATTGCTCTTAAGTTTTAGCCTTTTCTTGCTCTTTCTTTTAGTAATTAACCCATAAGGGGACCTGATACCAGACAATTCCTTTCCCTTGTAAAGGAACAGCCTCAGTAGTGTGGATAAACATCAAGAACAATGACCCACACCTATCTCTCATTCTCAAGAATCTGCCACTTTAATGATTAAAAAATTCAAGAGAGATAACTCAAAGACAAACATGTTGTGGAGAAACAAAAAAGCAGAGGAGTGGCTAAGAAATGCCAAGTGATTGCAATCGCCTGAGCGAGGCACCATAGGGCTCATTAGTAACAGCCTCACACAGTAATATCCCATTCTCAATAACCAATCAGCAGTGAGATAGGAAACCTTAAGACCTAAATAACACCTGAGTTTAGTGGAGTTTAGAAACATTCCACCAGGGGCAGCAGAACAGACATTCTTTTCAAGCACATGAAACATTCTCCAGAGCACACCATATGCTAGGCCACAAAAATAAGCTTCCATAAACTTAAAAGGTTTGAAGCAATGAAAAATATGTTCTCCAAACACAATGCACTTAAATGAAAAGTCAACAACAGAAGGAAGTTTCTTGGAAATCACCAAATACTGGCAAATTAAGCAAAACACTTCCAAATAACCCATTTGCTAAATAAGACACATGAATGAAATTGTTTTGAATATTTGAACTGAACAAAAATGAAAATTATTGAATGCAGCTATAGCAGTGATTCGAGGGAAATGCTTAGTTGTACACGTGTACATTAATACAAGAAAGATACTAATCAATACCTAAACAGCTGTCATAAGAAAGCAGCACAGAGGAGCTGACTAAATTCAAAGCCAGAAAAGGAAAGGAAATTACAAAGATTAGAGTCAAAGACAATGAAACAGACAATAGAAAAACACAAGAAAAAATAAATGAATCTAAGGTTGATTCCTTTTTTTTTTTTTGGTTGTTTGTGGGGCCTGAACTCCGGGCCTGGGCACTGTCCCTCCACTCTTCAGTTCAAGGCTAGAACTTAACCACTTGAGCCACAGCACCACTTCCGGCCTTTTCTGCTTACGTGGTGCTGAGGAATTGAACCCAGGGGCTCATACATGCAAGGCAAGCATTCTACCACTGAGCCACCATCCCAGCACCAAAAGTTGATTCTGAAAAAAAAAAATCAGCAAAACAGACAAAAAAAAATCAGACAAATCTTTAGCTTGACTAACCAAAATATGCAACAAGAAGATACAACTACCAAAATCAAGAAAAAGGATAATCATTAACAACTTTAAAATTAAAGTATTAAAAACAATGGATAACTTTGTACCAATAATACATGACTTAACATGGAATAAACAGAATTTCTAGAAAGACACAAATTATCTAAACTAACTCCAAGAACTAGAAGCTTCAACTAGATTTAAACTAAAGAAACTAAACTGTTAATTAAAAATCTTCCCCCAAAAAAGACCAGGTCCAAATGAGAATAGTGAATTCTAACAAATACTTAAAAGGAAATATTTCCAATTCTTCCATTTCAGAAAAGGATAAAAGGAACTTCCACACATAGTCTCTGAGCCTACTATGGCCCTAATAAAAAAAAAAAAATCACAAACACTCCAAGGAAAGAAAAACTAGGCTGATACCCCTCCTAAATGTAGATTAAAATCCTTAAAAATGTTGATAGCTGAGTCCATGACCATGAAGAGTTACATGCCATCACCAAGGGGAACTTAATGTAGGTTTTGTGTTCAAAATTAATTAATGTAATACAAGCTTTTTTTTCCCCCCCTTGGGGGGACTGTGGTCTGAACTCAGAGCCTTGTGCATGCTAAGTAAGCACTCTACTGCTTGAGCCTTGCTTTTGTTAAATTTTAGGTAAAGTGCCTTTTTTTATTTTTTGCTCAGGCTGGTCTTGATCGTGATCTTTCTATTTACACACTCCCCAGTAGCTGGGATAACAGGTATGTGCCAACACACCCATCTTTTTCTTAGTTGAGCTGGAGGTCTTGTGAAGTTTTTGCCCACGGGAGCCTCAAACACAATCTTCCAATCCCAATTTCTCAAACACCTAGAATTATAGGTGTGCGACAGGCACCTGGCTCTGACTAGACTTAAACACACTAGGAATATAAGGGGACTTCTTTCAGATGATAAAGGGAAGCTACAAGCAATCCATGGCTAACTTCATACTTAATGATGAAACATTCAACACATTTTCTGTCTGGAACAAGACAAAGACACCCATTCTTACTCCTTTAATGCAACCCTGAACCAAAGTTCTAATTAAATAAAACCAGAAGATAAAAATAAAGATACCAATTAGAATGGAATAAGTAAATCTGCCTTTATTTTTATTTTTATTTTTGTTGGTCATGGGGCTTGAACTCTGGGCTTGGGTGCTGTCCCTCAGCTCTTTAGCTCAAGGCGAGCTCTCTACCTTTTGAACCACAGCGTCACTTCTGGTTTTCTAGTGGTTTATTGGAGATAAGAGTCACATGGACTTTCCTGCCTGAGCTGGCTTAGAACTGTGATCCTCAGATCTCAGCCTCCTGAGAAGCTAGGATTACAGGTGTGAGCCACCAGCACCCGGCTTCTGTCTTTATTTTTAACCACTACAATTTTGTATGTAGAAAATCCTAAGAATTCTATATAAAAATCCTATTAACAAATTTGGCAAGGTTGAAGGCTAGAAGGTCAATGTACAAAAGTCAATGATATTTCTAGATACTATCAGGAACAATACCAAAATGAAATTAGTAATTCCATTTACAATAGTATCACAAAAGAAATAGAAGTCCAATATAGGATTTATAACAAGGAAAACTATAAAATGTAGTTAGATAAATGGAGATGTATTTCATCTTCATGATGGAGATGAAAAATGTTATCAAGATAACAGTTTCCCCTAGAAAGATTTATGCATTTGATCTTATCCCCTTAAGGTGCCTGGTAAAAAGTGTCTTTAATTTTTTAATTGTTTTTAAGTAGTTGTACAAATGATTTGACATTCAACAAAGAAGTTTATGAATACAGTGTATCTTGTTCAATATCACCCCTTTCAACTCTCTCACCCATCCCTCTACAACCCCAGCCCTTCCCTCCATTTTCTTCATTTTGTAGGATACACATTGAATGTTATGGCTGCACTTTCCCCCTCCCTCTCTTCATCTGTCTTCCCCCCTCTCCCTAACTCCCCCATCACCACCACTTTCCAGTACCTATTTCCTGGTGTGCATTTTGTTAGACTGTGAGCTAGCCTTTCAAAGAAGTAATGTTTGAATTCTCCCCCGAATCTACCATATTTCCATTAATATGCTTATGTGCACTTGGATACCACCCCATAATGTTCACCTATATATTTTTAACTAAATTTTAAGTTACATTTATGACAGAAAATATGTCTCCTTTGTCTCTCTGAGTCTGACTCACTTTTCTTACCACGTTTTTTTCAAGGTTCTTCCATTTCTTTGCAAATGATGTAATATCATTCTCTCTAAAGCACGAATAAAAATGATATAATGTCATTCTTTCTAAAGCATGTGTGCATATACACACACACAATGGAATTTTACTATGTAGATATAGATACAGATATAGACCACCTATTCTTGATCCATTCATCTACTGAGGGGCATTTGGACTGATTTTATATATTAACTGTGGTGAATAGTCCTGCAGTGAACATGGTTGTGCAGAGGGCTTTACTGGGTCCTGGTGTATAAACTTTAAGATAAATGCCCAAGAGTGGAATTGTTAGATCAGATAGAAGCTCCTATGTTTAGTTTTTTTCAGGAACCTCCATACTAGTTTCCAGAGTGGGTGAACAAGTTTACATTCCCACCAACTGTGCATTAGGGTTCCTTTTTGCTCAGACTAATTTCAGTATCTGTTATTGGTTTGTATTCTTGATAATGGGTGAAATGAAAGTATTTTTACAGAAACTGAAAAGCCTGTTCTAAAGTAGTTGAAATTTAAAAAAAAACCCAAGGGGAGAAAAACACCTTTGTAGCTCACTCTTGTCATCCTAGCTACTCAGGAAAAAGAAATCTGAAGGTTACCAGTCAAAACCAGCCCAGGAAGAAAAGTTTGTAAAACTCTTATCTCCAATTAACCACCCAAAAGTCAGAAGTAGATCTGTGGTTTAGGTGGTAAACTACTAGCGTTGAGCAAAGAAACTAAAGGATAGCACCCAGGCCCTGAGTTTAAGTACAGGCATGTGCATGCACATACACACATACACACACACACACACACACACACACACACACACACACACACACACACACGCACGCATGCACGCACATATATCCCAAAACAAAACAAACTAGAATCACTGAAACAGTTTTGAAAAATAATAAACCAAAGATGTATACTGCCTCTTTTCAAGGTTACTGTAAATTTCAGTTACCAAAACACTGATCGGCATAGATCAAAGGAGGAAAACTTGGAATTCAGAAATAAAGCCTTACATTTACCATCAATTAATTTTAGACAAATGAGAGAGAGCTATTGCAGTCTTTCCAACAAATCTCACAAAACAATTGGATATTCATGTGTAAAAATAATGAAAAGTACAAATAATGTAGACACTAATTTCACCCATAGACATGAAAATCAGGACAAAATGGATCAGAGACTTTATGTAGAAGTGAAATTATAAATAAAAAATGGAGAATCAAAGAGAGAACAAAACTTGGTGACACTGGATTTGGAAATGGATTCTTAGTTATAATACCCATAAAATAATGGATAAATTAAACTTTTTGAAAATTAAAAATGCTGTTTTGCTAAAAAGCAACATTAGGAAACTGATAGGCGTACACAGTTGGGAGAAAAGATTTATAAAACATTTTATCTGATAAGGAAGTTGCATCCAGAACAAACAGATACCTTGAATTAAACAGCCAATTTAAAAGGGTCCAATACCCACTGCAACAGGGAGATGTACAAGTCGTTATGTCGAAAAAGAACTTTACAACTTTGGTGGGGGCGGGGGGGCGGAGGATTGGGTCAGGGGCGGTGGGAGGAGGATGAGAAGGGATGGGAAGGGAAAACAAAGAGGAGGCAACAATGCTTGATAAGAAATGTACTCAGTACCTCACTCATGTAACTGTAACCCTCTGTATAGTATCTTTACAATAAAAAAAAAAAAAAAAAAACAGAAAGAAATGTACTCGTTATCTTGCCCATGTAATTGTAACTCCTCTGTATGGTATTTTCACAATTTAAAAAAATGAAGAAAAAAATAAAATAAATAAAAGGGTCCAATAGAAATGAACAGACACTTCATCAAATATGTATAAAACATATATAAATATAGTATATGAATATATAGCTGTATATATCATATATTTGTATAGATATTAAACACATGAAAAGATGCCTATGGTTTCCTGTAGTAGTTTCAAGGATTCTGTCTTACACAAACAACTTTTACCCATTTGGAGTTAATTTTTTAAGACTCTCAAATTTGTTGTGTGACTTGCTTTCATATTCCGCTTACTTGTAGATCTTCCTAATAGACCATGATATTACAAAAAAAAAAAAAAAGCCCTGTGACACTGCAAGCTAGAGTTTACTATTTCCTCCTCAAACAAATGGGTTTATTGTTTCATTCACTGGATGGCAGACAAGAGGAAGAATGCACAAAGAAGGGCACCAAGACAAAAAGAACACATGGCTCTGGGTTTGGAAAGACACAGGACCTTCAGGAAGTAAGCTGGTAGAAATAAAGTAGAGAAGCCAGTATCTCATCATGTATAGGGAAGAATCAAACTCTCCCTATATCGGGGCTACTGGTCTGAGCTTAAACCCAGTTTCAGTACCCTGAAGATGATAAGGTCCAAGAGCAAGTTCAGACTGGTTGAAGATGAACTGGGCAGAAAAAGAGATCAAGAGAATCCTAGCATCTCTATCAGACTACGGCCTTTCAGTCTAGCTCTATAGATTTCCCACCTACAATCTATTTATCTTAAAAGACTCAAGTCAAAGGACACCTCAACATTTTGGGGGCAGCTTCCGATCGGTCTAGGTTGGTTTGGTTTGATTCTTGAAAGAAAGATTCTGTGCTCCTTTATCAAAAGATTTCTAAGTATTTTCCTGAGGATATTACAGTTTAAATATTTGTTGAAGAACTAGTATTTATTTAATATTTCTTAAGAAGTAACATGTTAGTAAATCAGTCAGTGGTATGCTGACTTAAATAAGCACAGCTGAAGTAAGGAAGACGGCCCCATCTGTCCATGGAAGATGTTGGAAGCCCTGACAGAGAAGTCTAAGCATGGGATACTCTGTCACATCTCAGCTGTACATGTCTTGTGGCTCTTTTAACAGGACCCAAAGTGCTATGCTCAATAGCAGTTCCCTAGGATAAGGAGCTTCTGTGCTTGAGGCAAGGAAATTTAGGCAATTTCCTTCTATGGGAAAGAATAGATAGATTTCCTCACATCATATACCTCTTTCCCCATGCTCCTGTGATGGTTTTACTTTTAAAGGGAAGTTCAAGTTCTCTGACAGGGAGCTGATCCTAATGCTTTGCAAAGGAGCATGATGAAAAGAATTCAGGGCTGTGAATGAATGCAAACAATTACCTTCATAAAACTGAAGTCATGTGACATCTGGTTGATCTCACCCATCAGAGAGTAGTAATCCTACCCACAAGGCTCAGCTTCCACTTGGGGGCTAAATTAGAAACTCTAGTGCATGTCATCTGATTCTGATCAAGAGTGGAGAGTTGTTTTTTTTTTTTATTCTCTCAGCATTCTAAGAATGTGATATTATTCCCCTGATAGCAAGCAAACTCTGCGTGAGTTGCAGAGTCCCAAGGGAGCTGTACGTATTTTGGTGAAAATTAATTTCCATGGAAAATGTGACACAAACATTACCTTTTGGGACTCAGATAAATCACATTTTACACCAGAAAGCCTTTTTTACTAAAACTGTGCTGTAAGGAGGTGGCTGTCCAGGGGCTTGAGGGAGTACTGATGTCTTAGGGAAGTACATGACTGGCTTTGTTTCATATAAAAAATTTAAAGAGAACAATGCAAAGCAAGAGGAAGATCTTGGAGTCAGATCTTGGTTTTAATTTGTCGCTTGTTCCTTCTTCAGTACTTGACATTAGATAAGTAAACTAATAGCTCTGGGCATCTATCTTATAGAGTTGATGTGACATACTACATTAAGTATGTAACACAATACAAAGACTTGTATACCAAAACAAACTCAAAAATTTTTTAACTCAGTTTCATACTTCACTCAAAATTTCAATGAAATAACCACAGGACTCAGGTAACGCAGGGACTAGCCCGGGCCTAATGCAATCCCTGAGTCCTTTCATTACACATCAGGATATTCTCTTGTCCTGATGTTTTAATACAAATCTGTAGGCCATGTATATGATTATATTACTTCCCAGTAAAGAGCTAGCAAAATAATTTCACATTAAACTTAGGTAACTTGCTTGACCTTTTCTCAGGACATCCACAGGGTCTAGAATCCCATAAGTAAGGTCCCTGCAGTAGCATTTACCATGAGTATGTTGATCTGAAGGTCTGAATGTTCTTGTGAAGGTTTCATTGGATTACTTTCTTTCTCTTGGGTTTCCCCTGGGTCAGAAAAGAGAATAAATCTTTGGTTTGTATTACTTCTTCCTTAGTACCTAATTCAGACTAAGACTTGATAGAGAGTAGCTTTAAGAATATTAATGATAATAGGACTTATTTTACATTTTTCATCACTGCTTGACTTTCTAGACCTTCTAGAGTTCGTACAATCTAACATTTCTGTCTCCTAATGCCACCCACTAGACCTCTCCCAATTGCATGTGATCCTTGTCTCGTCCTTTTCTTCTGTTGCTCTCCCATCCAAGTACTAACCAGGCCTGCTTCTACTTAGATTCAGAGATCAGACTTGCTCTATTCTGCTGCTCTACCACATTGTGTGAAGTGGAGGCGGGGGGCTTGAACCTTAGCTTGGCTTTTTATCACAGCTGACACTATCGCTTGAGCCATTCCTTCAGCTCTTGCTTTTTGTGGGTCAACTGGAAATAAGAGTCTCAGATCCGTCTGCCCAGGATGGCTTGGAACCACGATTCTCAGATCTTAGCCTCCTAAGTAACTAGGATTATAGGTGTGAACCACTAGTGTTAGCTTTGTTCTACATATTTTTTTGTTCTACACATTTTTGAAAGACAGTTCAGTTTCCCTTCCTCTTTGGAAAACTTCTAAGCCTATTTCTGCCCTTGTTGATACCATCCTTCCTACTATCTAGGATCCATGACCTAACATGGAACCTGTAAGATGCTTATAGTATTTTATCTTTCTTACTTTTGCAAACATGATGATTTACTTTCTCTAAATAGATAGTATGTCCCATGAGAGCTGAGAACTCCAGATTCCTTTTTCACTTACACCAGAAGCATCCAGTGATCCACTTACTCAAGAGATGTGCTGCCCTGAGTCTTCATTTACATATTGGTGATATAATGACTGATCTAATTGTTTTCCTTTTGGGAAGAAGATTCTAAGATAGGATCATGTCTCTCTTACTCCCTTGAAATTTTAAGTGCCTGATGTAGCACATGGCAAGGTGTAGATCATTAATAAACATTTATTGAAGAAATGACAGGTGACAAATCTAGCAAATCAAGGAAACTCGCTGACTTATATAACGAACACATGGACCATCTACTATCAAAGATGGGTAAGACATGATGACTTTAGTAATGTGGGCTGATGAGCTTTGAAACAAGTTCTTTTGCACTATGATTTGAGTCTTGTGATCAGTACAAAAAATTAAGGGAATAAAATCCAAACCAACTCCTATTGTTAGTGGCAGAAAAAAAGAAAACGCAGAGGCATGTATTCCTGAAAGGGTGTGGGTGCCCACAGGAAGAACTCTTTTCACATCTCCCCTCTCTCCTCAGAGGAATACCACACACACAAGCCTTGCCCCTGGCACTAATTCCTGTGAAAATCAATCCTTAAAGGTGAGCGTTTAATTCAGTAACTTGCATGTCTTTTTGTGTGTGTGTACTGGCCAGGGCCTTGAACTCAAGAGTCAGGCACTGACCCTATGCACTTTTGCTTAAGGCTAGTGCTCTACCACTGAACCACAGCTCCACTTCTGATTTTAGTGGTAGTTAATCGGATATAAGAGTTTCATGGACTTTCCTGCCTGGACTGTCTTCAAACCATGATCCTCAGAACTCAGCTTCCCCAGTAGCTAGGATGACAGTGTGAGATACTGGCACTTGGCTTTGTGTGTCCTTCTGTTTTATCCATCACCTCCCTGTCTGCATTTGTGTAGATGACTACTAAGCCAAACTTGGGGACCATTGTTTTAGAATGATGCAGTTGGAACAGCATTCCAACATAGTTGTATCAGATTTGAGCCACCAACATAACATTTATAGCTCTGTGCTAATTAACTAATGATCAAACCAGATAAAAAATTTGTTTATCTTCTTTAACATTTCCCCATGTTCTAAAAGACATCATATTGTCTGTCATTGCCTTTCCTAACTCAACGAACTTCACATAGGCTTGATACAAAATATGACTATTCCTTAGTCTTCTGAAAAACAAGAGGAGTAACAAATTTGGTATTAATTTATGAGATCTTGTTAAAGTTAAAGAGAAAACCCTAGTAGATCAGTCTTTCAACTACTCCATAGAAGAGGGTTTGGTGTTATGAAACAGAATTGGAAATGGATTCATCAATGATAGTTTCTGTTCCTCCTCTCCTTTTTTCCCTCCTTCCTTCTTTCCTTCCTTTTCTTCCTTCCCTTTCTACTTCCCTCCTTCCCTGCCTTTTTTCCCTCTTTCCTGGCTTCCTTCCTTTTTCCATTCTTTTTGTGTTTGTATGTGAAATAATTATGTCATGTAGCTAATGTATACCAGTTGCCTTTATCCACACATAAGTAAAAATGAAATGGTTCTCTAGAATAATCCACCTATTGTCTGGTTCTTTTCCCCCCATTAAATTTTTCCTCCTGCTAAGTCTTCTCTCTCTTTCTTCCTTCCTGGGAGTTTATTACCACTGCCACTGCTACTTCAAAGCCTTTCTGTTTGCCCTATCTTCTTCAATGGCCACAAGTTAGCAACAACATCTCTGCTCTCCTAATAAACCAGAGCTTTTTGAAGGTAAGATCTGAATCTTACTTATCTTAGCATCTTTATGGTCTTTGAAAGACTGATGTCAAGTAAGGGTTGAGTTTAATGAATACATTGAACCAATGTTGAGTGCATTTACAAACAGTGTCAGGGAAATAAGTGGATTTTAGAAATAAGTGAGTTTTAGTGATTTGGATTTCAGCCTTACACCCACTCATTTGTGAGGGAGACATCCATAAATTGTGATACCCACCCTGTGAAGTTAGGAACACTGAGAGGCAGTAACAGGAAAGGACAACGCAAATGTAACTGAACCTTAGGGAGACGCTACATTAAGCCAATGTAATCCCTTCTCATTCATCAGAAGTTGGCAATTTTCCCCCTCTTTCTTCACCATTTACACCTCTGACCAATGGTCCTAGATGCCTCAATCTTCCCAAACTAATTTCTGTACTATCTAAAATGCATCCATTTCAATTGTGAATGAAGGCAAAAAAAAGTCAGTCCCCCCTCTGTTGGTAGAAGATGAGCAGCTGGGGGTCCAGCCGGGGTCCAGGCTGAGAATGTCCTGAGGAATGTAAACAGTCCAAAACTAGAGCCTCAGAGTTCTGTGGGAGAACAGCCCTCTTTGATGTGCCTAGGGGCAGTGGTAGCCGACATCTGAAAGTGATGGAACAACCTTCAGTCCAGGCTGAGCGGAAGTAAAATCCATCTGGTTCTGTCCACTACACCCTGCGATTCCGCAAGTCAGACAGCCTGGCCCACTTCTCACCTGCACAGCCTCCACTGTGGAAAGGGGAGAACCAGTGTGATGATTTCCTCTCATTAGTGCGTGGCCCCTGGGCTCCCAGTCGCAGGCACCTGGGCCTCTCAGACATTGCCTTGGTTACCCTCAAATGTAAACATTTGCCTGAAGGATGCCTAGTTGCCTTAAGCATAGCAGGTTCCTGAAAGGAAAGAGGCGGTCATTAGGTCATTATTTGACACAAGTTATTATGACTTCCATACAGAAGCAGAACTGGATCATCTAGGTGAATGTGGTTTTAATTTCTTATTGGAAGCTTACAGTGGATTTGCAGCTGCTTAGTACTAGAGTTTCCAGACTTCTTTTCCTCTCTCCTAGAAAAGGAGCACTGGCAATAGCTATATTTACCTTTTTCCAGGAGCCATACCAAAGTCCTTTCCATGAATTACCTCTGCATTAGTCTGCTAGAGCTCCCATAAAAAAATGCCACACATGGGTGGCTTGAATGACAGAAATTCAATGTCTTACTGCTCTGTTCACCCGAAGTTGCAGATCAAGGTGTTTGTTGGAAGACTGAGATTTTGGTAGGGCTTGTCTTTCTGACTTACAGACAGCTGCTTTCTTGTGTTCCCATGTAATCTTTTCTCCTGCACAATGTGGGAGGTGAGGTGGCGATCCGCTGTTCTGCCTCTCTCTCTCTCTCTCTCCTTCTCCTCCTCCTCCTCCTCCTCCCAGTCCTCCTCTTTCTCCTCCTCTTCCTCCTCTTCCTCCTTTTCCTCCTCCCCCTCTTCCTTCTCCTCCTCTACCTCTTCGGATTAAGGCCTTAACCTTATGACCTCATGTTAACTTGACTGTTTCCATATATATCATGACTTCAAATACAGGCACATTGTAGGTTAGAGCCTCAATATAAGCATTTCAAGGGGATAGAATTCAGGTAAGAACAACATCACTATGTCCTCAGTACAAGTTTGAGATGCCAAAGACATTCTCCACATTGTTCTAATGAACAAGCAGAGTTATTTCCCCCAACGTCATGTTACCATTAATTGTCATTGGTATTGCTTTTTCTTTTCATAGAAGAGAAGTGGACATGCCAGGCATGTTGGCTCATGCCTGGCATCACAGTTCACAATGGAAGAGTATCCTGGGCAAAAAAAAAATTGGCAAAATTATGCTAGGCATAATGGTTCATAGCTGTAATCCCAGCTACATGGGAGGCAGCATGTAGGAGGACTGCAGTCCAAAGCCAGACCTAAGTGAAAATGGAAAACCCTATGTAACAACTGAAAGATAAAGGGCTGGTGAACGTGGTTTAAGTGGAAGAATGTATATCTAGAAAGCACAAGGCCCTGAAGGTCAAACCCAGTACTTCCATAAAGAAGAAGGGGAGGGGGAAAAGGAATAGGAAGAAAGGGAATAGGAAGAGCAAGGGGGAAAAGGAGGAGTGGAGATATGGAGAGCTCATTTGAATGAAGGGTTGGTCATAGAAGAGTCAGGAGGAGACTGGTTGGTAGAAAATAGAGCAGTTGAAACTCAGTTAAATACGTCCCAGGCCACAGTGCTGAGCCCTGGACAGAGGAGAACAAGAACACAGTTATATATCTTGGCCACATATCTCACTATCCTGGCCTCCTCAAAGATCTTCCCTTCCAGGTCTTGATCTGAATTAAACTGCCAGACAGGAAAATGGCCCCTCCATGTTCTTTCCTTCTCTGAGAAACACTCTGGGTCTCCATTTGATGTCATTCTTCTTAGAGGTCACCTCCAATGTGGTGACTAGTTCCTCAGCTCACCCAGGGTTGTCATTGATGGTGACACACCTCTTTTCTCTTTCCCTTGTCACCTATCCCACAGTTCAGAACTTTCTTGATCTGTATTCCATTAAAACAGCCCCATTCTCTGGGGGGGTTGGCTCTCTGCTGAGAAAGGAAAGATTGTACTTCACTTTTTGCCCATCATGGGCAGCCTCAGGAACCTGGTGACTTATGGCGTAAATTTTAGGCCCCACTGCAGGCAATGCAATGGGAATTTTCCAATGGTAAGAGGCTTGTCAATGGACATGGAATTCATGGCGAGTGAAGACAGCATCCTGGGCTCATCACAATAAGAAGCCTGGCAATGACAGAACTGTGCTCAAGAATCTAACAATACCCTACCAAGGCTTCCTGCACAGCCCAGCGTGGGAAACCAAACTGCTTCTGTTGTGCATGGCATTGCATGTTAGAACTATGTTGCCAATGTCCCACCTGATCACAGGGGAGCTCTGTGGCTTTTCAACTCATGTGTTTCTCATATATAAAATGGCATGATATTTTTCTGCTCCCCCAAAATGGCTCATTCCAAAGATGATAAGAATACCTAATAAGTTTTCTGAGAGATTTACATGAAGTTACTATGGCTCAAAAGCCCCATGAAAGTGTACCACAGGTAAATCTAAGTGAGCTTTGGAATTCAGAATTCAGATTTAATAAACATGCATGTAACCAATGTTGCAACGCATCCACCATCCCATTTGGAACTGCTTCAATCCCCTAGACCCAAACAATCTCCCAGATTTTGGTTTGGTACAATATTTCTGTGTCCCAGGGAGAAATATTATACTAAGCAATGAAGCCAGTAAAAATGTCAGTTTGGAGTTGGCGACAAAGGACATAGCTCAGAGAAGTTAAAATGACTTGCTTATGTTCACATACCAGGACTTGAATCTCAGATAATAGTCAGAGTCCTAGCTCATCACTACATGTCATAGCTCTAGCAACTTGATCTCCCATCAATATTAAAGAAAGCACCAGAGGCTGGAATCTGATTCATTAGGAAGGTAAAAGCTGTCACAATATCAATTAATGGATATAGCTTGCTTCTCCTGGAAATGAAATTTAAACTATGATCCCAAATGGCCAACTTGGATAAAAACCCTACTATTTCTTGAAAATGTGCTGAATAATTTATATATTTCCTCTAGTCCCTATAAGAGTTGAAAGTCCTATCAGATTCATTCCCTTGTATAGATGAAAATAAATAACTTATCTGAGTCAACCACAAATAAGTGGCAGGGTAGAATAGCCAGTCCAGGTGGGTAGGACTGTAACCTTTCCACGATCATTACTGTATGGTTGGCCCAATGTCACAGGCAGAGCCAGTAACCAGAGTAGCAACATCTCAGGCCTCATGACCTCAGAAGGCCTGGTGACCTTAGAAAGCCTTGCTATGTTTCACTTCTACTTTATCTAGCTCCATAACGACTCAATATCGCCTTTTTTTCTGTCTACTTTTGGCACTCAGAAAAAGAACAGTAAGTAGTGTTCAAGAGAAGATGAAACAAGATTGATCGGAAAAGAAAATTTTATCTGATTCCAGCCCTGTCCATAGGGTTGTGCTGTGCTATATTTAGATAAAGGCTTTGCAGAGCCAAAGAAGCAATAACAGCAAACTAAAAAGGTACTAGGCTCGTGCCAGGAAACAATAAGAAGCTGTGAGTTCTCATTCTTTGCCCAAAGCATGACTGTTTAAAAACCCAGAGGCAATAAAAACAAGCCATCTCAGCAAACACAATGGTGTGTTCAGGACTGGGGAACCTCCTCCCTGCAGGGCAGCTGATGGAGGCTGTGGGGTAACAGGGCATCTTCTCTCTTGCCAGGAACAAGGCTGTCTGGGGAAGCCACACAGATCTAGTGTGCTAACTCGTCAGTAGGAAAGGCATGGGTACTGAAGTCCAGGACTGGCCCATGGCATTATCCCAGTGCCCAATGGACCAGCTACTATAGGATAGACCAAATTTGAACCATGGTGGTTCACAAAGATGAAGCTGAGCGTGAGAACTGCAAAGACTTGTTCACTCATGGATTTGAGGGTAACATGAGCAACCAAAATCTAAGGCTCCCTAGTCCTCTGAAGAAACCCCCATTCGGTCCCTGCATCATTCAGAGCATTGGAAGTCTTCCAGTATATTTAGTTGTAAGTGGTGAAAATCCTTAAGGTAAGAGGTCAGCCCACAGTATTTCACAATCTCATATCTACTGGACTGAGGTATGTAAATGGGTCTGTGGTATTCAGATCCTGGTGCAGCTGTATTATGTACAGACTGAAGACAGAAAGCAGTTCTCTTCTCCAAAGTAGCCTCTGCCGTTCTGTACGCATAGATCAAGCCTTGCCAGAGCCCATCTGTAGTAACAACTAACTTGTTTTCTGGAGATAAGAGGCTTGTCAGGCACTTGCCCTGGCCTAGTAAATGCTCTCTCACCTCTCCCACAGATCTCCATCTTCCCAGCCTCTTTCTATCAGTGTCTGCGTCACCAACAGCCAATCTAAGCCAATGCAGCATATCTGCTAGGCTTCTCTTCCATGAATCCCTACTTCAGCATTTCAATTTCCTATTTACCATAGTCATTCATGCAAGTTACTATAATAAATAAGCCCAGAATTTCAAGAACTTAAGCCAAAGTAAGTTTGTTTCTATGTTAGAAAATAGTAAATATCAACATAGGTGTTCCTAGGTAACAGCCACCTTCCAGGGCCCTGGATCCATACATTTTGTGGTTCTACCATCTTCCAGCAGCTCTCTGCAGCTTCTAGCTAGAAGAAGTGGAAAGGTCTGAGAAGGTGGCATGTTCTCTTTTTAATCCCTTCTCAGAGGGTGGGGGAAACACTTACCTACTGTTCAATCTGTGTCCTCCATGCAAGGAAAGGTTGGCAGCGTTTCTGCCATCAGAATCTACCCATAATCATAGCTAGACTACATGATGCATCTTCGTTTTGTCAATGATGTACATTAAGTATCTCATAAACAACCTTAGAAAAATAAGAAGTACAGCGCCGGGCGCTGGTGGCTCAAGCCTGTAATCCTAGCTACTCAGGAGGCTGAGATCTGAGGATCGCAGTTCAAAGCCAGCCTGGGCAGGAGAGACCGTGAGACTCCTATCTCCAATAAACCACCAGAAAACCTGAAGTGGCACTGTAGCTCAAGTGGTAGAGTGCTAGCCTTGAGCTGAAGAGCTGAGGGACAGCGCCCAGACCCAGAGTTCAAGCCCCAGGACCGACAAAAAAAAAAAAAGAAAAATAAGAAGTACAGACATATCAAGCTCTGGGCCTTGGTGTCTATAAATACACACAATATGAAATATATAAATATATATATGTACACATTAGGCAGTTGGTTACAATGTGAAATCCATGTGAGTCATACATAACATCCTTCCTAATTTCTTTGTACCTTGTAGAAGACATCCAGAGATGAACTCTGAGACTAGGGATTAGGAAGATTAGGTTGCTTCTCCTGCAACCCAGGGGAAACAAGTTTGGAGGGAATTCATCTTTCTTTTTTTCCATCAAACTATCTCTTTATTTTTTTTTGGGGGGGGGGGAGGAATTCATCTTTCTATTTGGCCTTTTAGTTTAAACTCTACCAAGGTATAGTTTCATAATCTATTAACAATGAGTTATGAAATGACAGTTACCCAAGGAAGCACCACTATAATCTACACACTGGTGATTCCCTTCACACACACACACACACACACACACACACACACACACACACACACACACACACACACACACACACACACACACACACACACACACACACACACACACACACACACACACACACACACACACACACCTAGAAAATTTCCTTCATATTCTTTGGTGCTCTGTGCTTGCACTCTGAGCCTCCTGCCACCATTAATCTATTTTGTTACTATAGGTTAGCTTGCCGTTTTTTAGAGCTTCATATAAATTCATATAGCATGAACATTTTAGCTTGGATTTATTGAACTCTTCTTCAACAGAAAATTTATGATTCATCTAAATGGTGACATTTATAAGTAACTTGTTCTTTTCTTTGCTGAGCAGTATAGTATTCTATTGCATGGATTGGTTATCCATTCATCTGCTGGTATTCAGGACATTTCCAGTTTCCAGCTACTATGAATACAGTTGCTAGGAACTCTGCATAAGATCTCTGGATGGACACTGTGCATGATTTCTTACTGAGCAGTGACCTGTTTATTGCCAAACACAGTCCACATTGACATACTTCTTTTTTCCAAAAAATACTTCTAAATATAAAAGTAGTGTATGCATTCTTTCTGATGGAGGCATAGAATTCCATTGTGTATTTATACCACATTTTCCATCAGAAAGAATGACATTGTCCCATTTATTAGGAAATGGAAAGACTTGGAAAAAATTATATTAAGTGAAGTAAGCCAAGCCCAAAGAAACATAGGTCCCATGGTTTCCCTTATCTGCAATAACTAGTATATGTCTGAGACAAACAAACAGTCAGATAAGTTGATATTAGGTGAAATGAACCCCAAGATAAGTATTCAAATGTTTTTTTCTTTCTTGCGATTGTTTGTAACATATTTATAAGATGATTTCTTTGTTGCTTTGTATGTCCCTCCCCCATGGTATAACCCCTGCTTTCATTGTATTTGATGTCGGTATAATTTGTGGAGGGGAAGGGCAAAAACAAACCATTTAAATAGGGATACAGGTGGACCCATTGCAACAATGAGATATACAAGTTGTTATGTTGAAAAAGAAACTTTACAACTTTGGGTGGGGGGAGGAAGGGGCAGGGGAAACAAAGGAGGAAGCAACAATGCTTGATAAGAAATGTACTCATTATCTTGCCCATGTAATTGTTACCCTCTGTACGGTATTTTCACAATAAAAAAAAGTAGTGCATACACATGGAACAATTAAAAAGAAGTATTAAGTCACCTAAAAATAGAGCTTGAGAAAGGAAACACTGATATTTTAATAGCTCCTCTTTTAGACATTTTTATAGAGAAAATTATTTTGCCTATGAAAATGACCTCACACCACTTCAGCTCTTCAGTTTTCTCTGCTTTGGTTCCAGACTCCCCGGTCAAATGCTAGTCTAGACCCCTGTGTCTCAAAGTATGCTCCATGGACCTGCTCTACAGGCATCATCTGAGAAAACTTACTAGAAATGCAGGTTCCCATGATTCTGTCACCACAAGGCATTTGTACTCCCCATTCCCTTTTGTCTTCAATAGTCCTGCAGTTACTTGAACAACACAGTTTCCTTTTGCATTTTGCTCTCTGCTCATATGTCACCAGCAGAGGAAAGCTATTTCACTCCTGAGCAATATAACTAAAGTTGCCTTCCTGCAATGCTCTCTCCTCTTCTCTCCCTACAGCCTAGCATTTATTATCCCATGACATTCATTTATATGCATTCATCTAAAAACTTCTGTCCAGAAATCCACACTATGTCAGATGTTGTTCGAAACTTTGAGGACACAGAGGAGAATAAAGTTCTTATGCCACCCTACTCTCCAATGTAGGCACACTAGGTAATATTTCATCTCTTTCAGGTTATTTATGTCTTCAAGAAGAAGCCTAATTCCCATGCCAGGTCCCAGGACAAGTTTCTAATGTGATGTGTTGAGCAAGTTGTGCTTGGTTGTCTTTAATCTCAGTGAAATGCCCAGGGACAGCTTTCCTGCAGTGCAAATGTCCCTTCCTTGATGTAAGTCTCCAATTACATAGCTGGTGGTTGTCTTGCCTCTGTGCAAATTATCTGAGTTTAAACATTCCCTAATGTGGAACCAAAAACTGTTTCAGCAGAAGCAACAAGATCAAGCCCCAGAAAACCTTCCAGGGGAAAAGCTTATCTTTAGTGTCCCCACACTTCTTCTTCCTGTACCTTTATTATGGTTTAGATGTTTGCTTTCTTGGTTTGCTCAGGGCTGGTGCTCGAACACTCAATCCATGTATCAGCCTAACTTTTTGCTGACTAACTGGAGATAAAGTCTTGTAGTTTTTTTTTTTTTTTTTTGCTGAGGTTGGCTTTGAACTCCAGGCCTCCTGAGCAGTTAGAATTACAGGTATGAATCACTGGCACTCAGCTAAAGTTGAAATTTAATTACCAATATAACAAGACTAAAAGGTAGTATTTTTTAACAGGTGATTAAACTAATGGGTAGAATTGATGTGATCAAAGACAGGCATGTTTGGCTTCTTCTTACTCTCTCTTGCCCTTCTGATTTCTATCATGGGATGATGCAGAAAGAAGGCCCTCATCAGGGACACTACAACTCTGTTGGTGGGAATGTAAACTGGTTCTACCACTCTGGAAAGCAGTATGGAGCTTCTTCAAAAGACTGAACATAGAGCTCCCCTATGACCCAGCAACCGCACTCCTAGGCATTTACCCAGATGATCACAAACAAGGCCATGCTAAAGCTACCAGCACAGCCATGTTCACTGAAGCATTATTTACCATAGCTCAGATATGGAATCAACCAAAATGCCCATCAGTAGATGAATGGATCAAGAAAATGTGTTATATATATACAAAATGGAATTTTATGCTTCAATAAGAATGACATCGCCCCTTCATAAATAAATGGAAAGACTTGGAAAAAATTATATTAAGTGAAGTAAGCCAGGCCCAAAGAAACATAGGCTCCATGGTTTTCCCTCATTTTTAATAACTAGTATATGCCTAGGATAGTTCTAGCAGAGGTTCACAATAGCTCAACAGCTATGCACATATGATCATATAAAATTTTGCTCATTGGGGGCTGGGAAGGTGGCTCAGTGGTAGAGCGCTTGCCTTGCATGCCTGACGCCCTGGGTTCGATTCCTCAGCACCACATAACCAAAAGGAAAAAAGTGGCTCAAGTGGTAGAGCGCTAGCCTTGAGCTGAAGAGCTGAGGGACAGCGCCCAGGCCCAGAGTTCAGGCCCCACGACTGGACCCAAAAAAAAAAAGAATTTGCTCATTGAAATGAACTCCAAGATATGGAAACAAGAGGGTTTTTTCATGTACTGTGTGAAATGATTTCTTCTTTCTTTCATTTTTTTCCTCTGGTTTATCCCATTGTCACTGTTTTTGATTCTGGTACCCTGTGTCATGTATATATGTTTATCTGATTTGGGGAAGGTAAAGAGAATCACAAAATGATGAGACAAAGGACTAAGGGTGAACCAATGCAACAGAAATACTCACGAGACACTACATTGGAAGTGAACTTTACAACTTAGGAGAGGGGGGAGTGGGGGGAGGGAAAGTGGGAAAAAACAAGAGAGGGGGAAACACTGTTCGACAAGAAATATACTCATTACCATGCTTATATAACTGTAGCTCCTCTGTGCATCACCTTTACAATAAAATAAAGTATTTTTTAAAAGAAGGCTAGTGTCAAATGCCAGCCCCTCCAATCCAACTTGGATTTCTCTTACTGGGCGCACTGACTCAGGGACCTGTGGATTACACTGTAGTAGAAAAGAGGCAAATTCCTGGCTTTTGAATTCTAAAACCTGAAATCTTGGCAAAAATAATATGTTTGGGAGTAAAATAGATCTGAAAATGGCCAAAGTTAGGTTTTTTTTTTTGCATTAACTAAGATGAAACTACTAGTCGGGGGAAGGGCAACTGGGAGATGAAGAGGGAGCAAAACCAGAATTAGACTTTTGTCATTGGTGGAGCAGACTCCTGTCTATTCTCTCTGTCCTGATCCTGTCTGACTGCCCTCCTTGTGTAGAAGCAAGACAACACAAGAGTTGGGGGAATGAGAGGAAATGAGGAGAGGCACTGGATCAAAATCATGGGTCTCATAGCATGAGTATGTTGGCAAGAGAGTATAGGGTGGGCTGCCTCCACAGACTCCTAGCTGGAAGGTTCTTCACTCAGCAAGCTGAGGAGCTGCCAGAGAAAAAAGAAGCACAGCTTGATAGAGAGGACCCTTTAGGCAGAAAGTTCTTCACCTGCCCATGGTGCTCAAGGACAGAGCCAAGTATTTCCTGAGTGTCCAAGAGAAAGAATTAAGAGATATTCAGAACTGAAAGACCCTGTGGAAGGGACCCAGGGTGACTTTTGTGGCTAGGGCACTGTAGAATGATGCTCCAGTCAGCCAATGCTCTCCTATACTAATGCTATCCTTAAAGCCCCTGAGACCTATACATCTGTTAGACTCATGAGAAGAATCTCTCACTACAGAAGCCCACCAGAGTCCTCATAAGTCCAGCCCCATCCACTTACTCATGTATGACTAGTTTCCTTTAGAAATATTCTCATGGATCAAGTAAATACCTTGCACTGCAGAATAGAATGCTTTCTTCCTCCATTCTTAAGAAGACAATAAAAGAGAAGGATAAGAGTATATAGAATAGCCCATGAGGCTTCAGGAAGAGAGAAATCAAGTCTCCAGTAACTGGATGTTCTTGATCCATGAAAGACCAGAACACAGCAGGAAAGTGGGGAAGGCATCTTCTGAGCTCTCCCCTCCCCCTCAGGATCCAGGCACACCTTCTCCCCCGGGCCGAGCTTGTGCCCTTCGCCCTTTCTTCTTACAATGTCCTCACTGTCTTCCTGTGCAGTCAGCCCCATGACACAGCTCCTTTCCTTCCCACTCCCTAGAAGTTACCATCTCTGAATATTCCTTTTCAGAAGAGCAACATGATCGAACATCATTTCTCCTTTTTCTGGAAGTCCAGCTGGGCAGTGCCCTGATTAGCTTTCGCTAATGCAGTGTGGGCAGAAGTACTATGTGCTGCTTAGGATGGAAACATTGAATTGTATTATGCCCCTGCCGTCACTGGTGCTGACACATGACGATAGCAGGGTTCTGTCCAGCTAATTCCTGAGAAAGGAATAAGAGCAAGAAATAAACATTCACTGAAATAATTTACTGGTAATTAAAATATCATAAGACAACCCATCTTGACTAAGGGACCTGGGCTATGGTTGGGGTTTAGGCTCTTAGCACTCTTTATCTGAGCTATTAACACATGCTACTCAAAGTGTGGTCTGCACACAGGTGTCAATCTACAAACTGTTGCTAGTCTACATAAAGAAAGACAGACAGGGGCTGGGAAGGTGGCTCAGTGGTAGAGCGCTTGCCTTGCATGCCTGAGGCCCTGGGTTCGATTCCTCAGCACCACATAAGCAAAAAGAAAAAAGCTGGAAGTGGCGCTGTGGCTCAAGTGGTAGAGCACTAGCCTTGAGCTGAAGAGCTGAGGGACAGCACCCAGGCCCAGAGTTCAGGCCCCACGATCAGAACCAAAAAAAAAAAGAAAGACAGACAGTAACAGTGAACATTCAGGACCAGGCATGGTTTAATCCCAGCTTTGAAAGGCAGAAACAGGACTTTGGCTCAAGATTAGCCTATACAAGTTAAAACAAGACCCTATCTGAAGAAAAAGAACTAACAATACCAAAAAAGCAAAAAGATTGGGGGTATGGCTCAGTAGTACAGCACTTACCTAGCAAATATGAAGCCCTGAGTTAAATCCACAGTACTAGAGAAAAAGGAAAAGAACATTTAAACTGATTCATGTTATGTGTTGTATCTGATAATAAACTATTTTCCTTCGAAATCATTCTCGTGTCTTGTGCATGGAAGTGGTACAGAATGGTTTGTCAAATGAAACTGAATCACATCTTTGAGACAGAATTAGAATTAAGGCAGGATTTCAAGCAATATCAAAAAGGTTGGCAGATATTTGGGGCATAAGTCCATTCATTCCCTGCTGGCTCATGCCTGTAATCCTAGATACCTAGAAGGCTGAGATCTGAGGATCACAGTACAAAGCCAGCCTAGGCAGCAAAGTCCATGAGACTCTTTTTTCCAATTAAGCACCAGAAAACTGGCAGTGGTGCTGTGGCTCAAGGTGGTAAAAGAGCTCAGGAACAGCGCCTTAGGCCCTGAGTTCAAGCCCCATGACCAACCAAAGGGGGTGGGAGGGAGACCATTCCTTGTTAAGGTAAAATGATCATTTAAAGGTTCCCAGAGTTAACTCTTCAAGCCAACACAAATTTAATTAAAATAAGTGAAGACACTTTCTGGGCTTTTGCTCACTTATTATTAAATACTATTTTAGATTTGTCCACATAAAGACACAAATGTCTTTATCCTCTGAAATAAAATTCTGCAAATATATTGCTTATGGATATGGTTTTTAGAGTTGTCCATCCCAAATAGCTTGACATTTTGATACATTTGTCCAAGAGTATAAGAGGATATTATAAACTACGTCCTGCCTCCCTCTAGGACTCATCTTCTTTCCTTCCAAAGACTTTTACACCCATTAACATATGTCTCTGTATCAAACAAGAAAGAGGGAATATGGTGCTGTGAAAAGAACAATGAGCAAGGTGTCAGGAGACCTGGCTCTTTTCTTCATTACCCACCCCCTCATTTCCTACCACAGAACCATCACTCTGCCACTCAGTGTTGTAACCCCTCCATCTTCTGAGGACAAGATAATAATAATAATAATATCAGTTCTATTGCGAGGATCAAGATAAAGGGTAGAGAAACACAAATAAAATACAACATAGTTATAATTCAGCATTTATGGACCATACTGCCTTGTTCTCAAAATATTTCATATGTATATCTTCTGTTTTCTAGCCAGTTGTGGATGCAGATCACTGGGAGAATGCTTATCTAGCATGCATAAGGCTCTAAGTTTGATCCCCAATACTACAAAAAAACAAAAATATTTTTCCTAGCTAGATAATATGCTCATGGAGAGGTGTACAATGCAATTTTGGTGTTATCTGTTCCAATGTTGGTGGAGGCCTTCAGGACAAATAATACACATACAATGATTGTTTGAAAACTTTATCCAAAGTTCTTGATACTCTTCATCCTTAAGCAAATTGCCTAGTGTAAATTTTGCACTCTACATGACAAGTATTCCTCCACTGGTGCACTATGAACGTGCTTCTGGAGTTCAAAAAGGAGAGTAATAGTGACTGAGTTCCTTGAGGGAAAGAGTCCCATCTTATTAATGTTTGGTTCCCCAGAACTTAGCCATATTTCAGCACATACAAGGAATCCAGTTATAATGGATGGTATTGTCTCCTCACCCCTAATCTATGTGGTGAAGCCCTAACACACAATGTGACTGGATTTGAAGACAGGGTATTAGATGAAGTATTGGGGTTAAATGAGCTGCTCTGGGCAGGGTGAGTGTCATAAAAAAAAAAAGAGGAAGGGTCTCAATGGCATGCTCTTTGTCCATGTAACCCTGACCCAATGTGACTGAATTTGAAGGCTAGGTATTGGAGGAAGTATTGGGGTTAAATGAGCTACTATGGGTAGGGTGAGTGTCATATTAGAAGAGGAAGGATCTCAATGGCACTCTCTGTCCATGCAACACTGAGGAAAGACCAAGAGAAGACACAACTAGAAGGTGATACTGGCAAGCCAGGGAAAGAACTTGAATCATGGGACCAATCAGTACCTGGAACTTCCCATCCCAGAACTGTGAGCAGTAAGTTTCTGCCCTTTAAATCCCACCATAGTAATTCCATACTGCTGCCTGAGCTAATTGATATAGCAGTGAATGTCTGAAGAAAATGAAAGGAAGAAGTGTATTTTATACCTCTACTCAGTAATCCTAAAACCAAAAACAACAGTCTGATTTTGCTTACATTTATTTTGGACACATTTTTCAGAATCATATATAGTACCTCTACCAACACCTGATCTTCTCATCCTTCCTTAGTGGGCACAGCAGTTCTTACTGAGAGAAGATGAAAAGGACTGGGCTACCAGGGCAGTGGTGGGAAGGAATGCAAGCCGTACCAGCCAGGAAGGAGAGGAGGTTGCACTCCTAGGGCCTCAAAGGAGGACACAATACACCATACACAGTCAAAGTAAAATGTGGCTGATGCATCTGGAGTTTCTGGGCAGAAGAACTATTCCTTTGGCAGGAACCACTGAGAGATCTTTGTGAAGAAACCTCTTGCTAGGGACTACAATAGAAAAAGTAACCTCAGCTAGAGACTGAGATCAAAATGCTCTGAATGAGATGAACCACCACCAAGTTTTGATTCAGGCTTATGAAACAAAGAAAGAAAAATGGGAGGGAGGCAAGGAGGGGAGGGGAGGGAAGAAAGGAGAAGAAGGAAAGGAAGAGAAAGAAAAAGAATGCAGCTTATGTGAACTTCAGAGGTTATCCTTTTATATTTCTAATTGCAACTCAGAATTCTGAAATGCCTCTTCTCTCCTCTTCTTTACAGATGTATGGAGTTTAGAAACTTCTAATGAGGTTCAGGGAGGAGAGGTAGGTTAATCTGGAGCCATTGGACATAGTGACCCTGCTTCCTGGGCCTTCCCAACAGGAGGAATGCTGACCAGGGGCTCCAGAAAAGAACAGCAAAGATGGCAACATAGAGAACCCTGGAAAGCCCCTCCCTAAGCCTCTCCCCAGATAGATAGCACACCCCTTTTGCAAGAGGGCTTGAATGTACTGCAGCAGCAGCTTCCCTCTGTTACCACGGAGATCTAGCTAGTAAAGAGAATGCTTCAGAGCTGAGGCCTCTATGTGATTGATCCTGAGATTCAAGCTTTTGCAAGAAAATACAATGCATACTTTCACAGAGATCTGTACAAAACCATAGTCTATAAAAAAAAATCCACACTCCCCCAAAGGCTTTTATTTTTAAATATAGATCTACATTTCCAGCAAAGCCTGAATCAAGTCATGTATTTAATGCCAGTAGAGGGTAATTTTAGAGGCCTGCCAAAAGAGGGGGTGTCGGCACATAAAACTAAGTTATATTTTTATTTATGCTACTTCCTCCAGATTGAAAATAAATTTTCAGAGCACTTCTCTAGTTAATCTCAAATTAATTGCAGATTCCTAGAATTTAAAAACGTGCTTATCTCACAGCGCCCTCTGGTGTTCAAGTGGATCATTTTGGCTTGTCTTGAGGCAAAACTGTATAATCAGGCAAGTCTATAATTAACATGCATTAGTTCTCCAAATATTTATTGAAAGTCTATTATGTACCAGTTACTCAGAAAGTGTTGGGACAGACATGGCTTCTTGCTTGTTAAGGAGCTCATAGTTTAGTAAGACAGACAAATGTACTCAGTTAGAAAATTAATTAAACAAAACCTTTTTGCCTAGTTTTTCACTTAAAATGAGACAGACACAGATGGGATGCCTCTACTTACACACTGTGTTGTATCATTATGTATGTTAGCAGGTATCTGGCTGGCTGTGGACAGAACAACACTGACTAAGTATACAGGGAACATTCTGAATTAGAGTAAACACCCCAAGAGGTACAGTGAGGTTGAATCCTGGTTTTACAGATTAGAGAAAGGGACTTTCACAGTCATCCCCAAGACACTCTGGTCTTGTAGGTAACCAGAGGCCTGTAGTCACCCTATTTCTAGACATGGAAATCTGACAGTCATTAAGCAGCTGTTTTTGTAGCACTGTGATAAAAGTCCTCAAACAGAATCACAGAAACCCTAAAGGTCTCAAGCGAGCTTAAGAATTTATCACATGCTATTTAAGAACTTCTTGTAGCCTTGTTGGGATTATAGAAAAGGAAGAAAACCACAGGACTGCTCATTCAATCTTGGGAAGAGCTGGATGATTCTGCACAAGCAAAAATGACTTGAAATATATGTATAGACACATCTCTACCAGTCCATCTTCAGCTGACTGAATGTTGTGTGACAGCCCTTCTCCACAGCAGGGGAGGAATGCTCTCATTTCACCGCAGAGTTCACAGATGCATTGCAGTTTTGGAATCAGCATATAGATTCCAGGTCTTGTCTGTATATAACCTTATCTTTAACTTTTTGAAAGTTTATTTTTGTTTCTATATTTAAAGCCCTTGTATTGGTCAAGAATTCATGTTCAGCATTATTTGAACCATTTGCCACTACAGATAGAAAAAGTTATTTGTGTTTAATAAAACTGATGTAGAAAAAAAGAATGTGCAAATCTGAAAATTGACACAGAGTCACAGAGCACATGGCCTGAATAGGTGGCTCTTCAGGCCTTCCCAGAAGGCAAAGGTAATCTGAAGGAGTGGTAGACACCTTCAGCAAGAATAGAAGTGAAATTCAAATATCCAAGAATCCAGGAATAACTACACACCAGAAATAATGCTCTATTCTACTCTGTAATATTCCTAAGGTCTGTTTTATCCATTCTTTATTGTTCCTTAAAATATAAGTGGGACCTGTGACCTCTAAGCCCAGGGCAGGTGGCAAAGGTGACGTGATACATATGACTTTATTACATTGGATGGCAAGGTGCATCCTCCCCAAACTAATCCTTAATGGCTTGGAGAAAGCAGAGTTATACTGGGAAGACCCATGTGGCCAGAAGCCAAGGATGACCTTCTGTCACACCTCTGGGAAAAGAGAGCATTACAAAGAAGACCGCTAGCAGCACACACGAGAGGCAGCAAACCTTTCATCCCCCAGCCAAGCTTCAATGAGGCCATGGCTCTGTCAACAGCTCAGAGGCAGCTTACTAACCTATGCCCACCTCATTTACCCTCCAGACTGCAATCCTAAGTGTGTGCTGTTTTAAGCTGTGAATCTCACTAGGCAATGACAGCTATGGATACAGAGTTCAGGACACTTTCTATTTTGTAACATTTTATTAGAAAAGTAATACAAATAAACACTGAAATGTTGGAGAAGGAAAGCCACCTATTCATTTACCCTGCCACACTTGCTACTATAACCACAGGTAATAATCTTGCTTTATCATCCTCTTGTTACATGCTGGGGCTATTTGCAGCCATGTTCACATTCACTCACAGGTTCATAGTTTGCAGTGTTTTCACTGTAACATTTTCTCATGTTTGTCATAATATACACTCCTCATTTTTAATGACTATTCAAGGTACTATCCAGAGATGGGTTTATTAACTACTTAGAGTAGGAGATGGTAAGTGATGGCCCACATGTGTAAATAAAGCTCTAATTTACTATAGCACAGCCTGACTCATTGTTGACATATTGTCTATGGATGTTTTCATGCTACAAACAGCAATGTTGGGCAATTAGGACAGATAGTCTGGCTTGCAAGGCCCTTTAAGGAAGCGTGTAAATTCCTGACCTAATCTTTTAAGTGGCTCACAATTTGGACTATTAAAAGTAATGCTAGTTGGAGAATGTTTGAGCATATAATTTTCATACTTTGTACAACGTAATTGGAGGATTAAGAAAAATGGAATGACTGGGTCTAGTTAATAAAGATGTTTTTAGGGCTGACACTCTCTTCTCTATCTCGTGCAGTAGAGTAGCTATGATATAATAAGGGTGGTGGGACAAAATCCCAGTGTTCCTGTAGGTAGCAATCAGAAGTCCTGACTAATCCATGCATGTACATTTACACTCTTGAGGAGTGTATTTTCAGTTCTGATCTAAGGTCCATTGAAGAGGAAAGTGCAACAGAAAAAAGATTCAAACAGAGATTATCCTTCGGTGTCTACTGAGAATGAAAGCAGATACCAGTAAATTCTTCAGGTGACTAAAGCCATGTAAGTGCCAATCCAAGCTGGTTAAATGACTAAAAGGCAAGGAAGGGCTGAAGAAGGGAAAGAGGAGGCAACTTCAGTAAGCTCACAGGGTCAGCTATGCATGTGACGACAGAGGCAGCACATGAATTGTCTCCTCTTGATACAACCTGCCATATCTTGCATACAAATGCAGACTATCCCCAGTAAGAACACTCTACCGCAACTACTCTTTGTTTCTGACAATACAGATGCTTTTATCTGGGAGAATTTTTTCCAGAAAGAAAACGTATGAGACGGACAAGCTATATTTACCCTGATTATCTTGAGATTAAAAACTAGAGCAGGCTGATGGGTCTCAAATCCAATCTTTTGTGAGCACAAGGCATTGACAAGCAAAGATGTCATCTTCTAAGGGAAATATTCTGCAACATAAAGAAAAAGGATCAGGATGCACGTTTTCACTATTAGAGAATGTAACTTAAGAGAAAAATCAGAAAGATATTTAATTATCCCAATTATGCCAAGAAAGTGTGTAAAGATGTCATGCATGATATATTTTATTAAAATGTTCCTGTAAAAATGTCAACCAGTTAACAGATTTTCTTAAGAAGTGTTCTTTAGATTAAAACTATTATTGGCCTTTACATTCCACTTCAGTTACTCACTACATAATTAAATAAATGGTGACTTCACAAAATATTCTGGAAAACTATGACATTCTCCAGAGAAAGAGAATGAAATTATTTTTGCAAAAATACCTAGGGAGATGTTACTTTGCAAAAAAAAAACAGCCAGTTTTCTGAAGTATAAAAATAGACACTTTTCTGCCGAGTTTTTCAAATGGCAAAAGGAGCAGTCATTGTACAAATAGCTTAGAATCATGTCGTACTTTTCTCTGTGTTCACTGTTGACTCTCAGTTACCTCAACTGACCTGTGGGTCTGGCAGCATAAATCCATCCGTGAGCTTGTAATAGACTATTGTTGAGTCAGACTCCACTATGGCCAAGGTAAACGACATCGGCAGATCTGGATCGCCTTGCAGTTTTCGAGATGCCTTCAGGATTTCCCTAATCCTGAAAGCAAAAACATAATGCATGTAGGAGCCGCCACCACTCAAGTAATGATGAGTTCAAGGCAACGAAACACTGGAAGGAGGAAATGACAGACAAAACAGAACAGCACTGCCTGAAGCCTCACATATCAGCATCGATGAGCAATGTATTTAGAGATTCAGATAATGTAACCACAGGTACTAATCAGAAACTTCATTAGTATCACCTGCTAAAAGACAGCATATTTTATCAGTCAAATATTTTAGTACAAATAAGCATTTTCCTGCTTCAAAAGTGGCAAACCAGTACCTAAATAGAAAAAGATCAATTTCTATAGGCTGTCCACTCTGTATTATTTTTTCTACAAATATGATACATAATCTTGAGAGCTATAAGAATTCTAGTTTATCCAAATCTCCTGCTGTCAATATGTACCACAGTTACTCCTCAGTATGCAATGTATCTGCAGCCCTAACAATCAGACTGTGCTGAGAATACAATAAAGACAAGAAAGTAAAACCTATTAAGAAACTTAGGCTTTTATAGACTTTCTTGTTCCTTAAGAACAGATAGAGACATGTTTGTGTGTGTACGCGTGTGCATACATGCACATATATGTGTGTTTTTCTTAAGGTAAGGTGTATAGGAATTCAGGAGCATATAGAGACATTTTGGACAGCAATTTCCATCTCATTCACTGCTCTTCTCAGATGGTATTTGTTTGCATACTTCTTTAGTATAAAGAGCAAAACATTTTCAGTCTTTCTCAAAACACCCATGTGGGAAACCCTAAGGTTTGAAAATCAAGAGTGTAAAAGGGGTTTTGTTTCCAGAGTTGAGAGAAATCATTGTCCAACATGGAATGGAAGTTCCCATCTCTGAGGCCATGTTTCCTACTTGGCAATGTGTGGGAGGAAAACTACCAAGGAATCTTCACAGTGAAAACACAAACAGCTATCTGCCTCTGTTACTTAAGCACATTCGGAATTCCTCTCAAATTTCTTGTTAGTATCTTTCCCAGTCTAGAGTGTGTGTGTGTGTGTGTGTGTGCGTGCGTGCGTGCGTGCGTGTGTGTGTCTGTGTGTGTGTGTGTTGTCCTAGGGCTTGAACTCAGGGTGTGGGTTCTGAGTATTTTTTTGCTCACACTAGCTCTCTAACATGGTGCTTAATTGAAGGTAAGAGTCGCACTGACTTTCCTGCTCAGGATGGTTTCAAACCACAGTTCTCAGATCTAAACCTTCTAAGTAGCTAGGATTACCAGTGTGAGCTACCAATGCTCAGCTGCACTGTTTTTCATATATACTTATTGTAGACTCATCACTTGTCCCATTCAAGATTGTTTTGTTTCCTTCACAGGACACCACATAAACTCATTAAAAAAAAATGTTCACCATGGGGGGTTGGCATGTCTGCCGTCTTGGGTTCCATGGCTCCGTGATGGTGGCTCCTCCCATTGGGAGAAGGAGGTGGCAAGATGGCAGTTGCATCTAGGCCATGGCAGCAACTACTTCTAACCCAGAAATGGCATCAGATGTACCATCACTGGGACCTACTATTGACTCTGGAAACCCTGGACCTGGGATTCAGGGTGGAGGAACCATTGTCCAGAGGCTATTAAAAGGTGACAAGGGCTGGATTTGGATGATGATAGAGAAGGGAAGAGTAAAATTTTGAGGCCTAAGAAGAGTGCTTCATCCTAAAACTATGTATTTTCACATTATATCCCAGTTTACAGGCAGTCTCTAATTTCAGAGATAAGACCTCAGTGAAGAGAGGGTAGAGTTTTACAGATTCTCTGGATATCAGTTACCTGTTGATGCATGGCTTAAGAAAAACAATCATTTATTATTTCTCACAGTTCTGTGGATTGATTGCATGGTTATTCTACTGATGTTGCTCAAACTTTCTCAGATAGGTTTAGTCAGATAGATTCAACTCAGCTGGAATAGTTGGGTATCTGTTTGTAGCCTTCTCTTTAAGAAGGCAAGTCTGAGTTTCTTTATATGATGGTGACCATAATACAAGTAAAACACACTGGCAAGTCCAATTGTGCTTAACAAATTTCTACTTCTATGACATTTGCTAATGCCCCATTGGCCAAACAAAGTCATGTGTTCATATCCTGGGTCAGTGTTATAGAGGGCTATGAAAGAAAGTGGATACTGCAAAGTAGAATTCATTAATGTATAACTGAGTCATACCTTCTGATATCCTTTGTTGATTCCCTCTATAGGAAGTAGAAATTGGAACATGAACACACACACACACACACACACACACACACACACACACACACATATTGGAGTGTGTGTGTGTGTGTATGTATTCTTGAGTAATGAATCTTCTGGAGCACTGAAACTGGATTTTAAAATATATTTTTAAAGGGGATATTCTTGCTGAATACCCAGTGTTTTGCTTGTTTTTATGTGAAAAGGCATAAAAATTTAAAGAAAGGACAGTAAAAGAAATGTTCACCATGCCTTTAGGTCAGAAGATTGTACTTTCTGATCGACTACTAATAATGGTCAAAAAAGCACAAGGTTATGAAATTCTACTTAATAAATCCTACAAGAGTATAAAGATATCAAGATGGTAGAAAGATCACCAGAAGATTATAATCTCACTTAATTCCCAATAAATTTGTAATCTCAATTTAGAAATCACAGAAATCTACATGACAAAAGATCACATATATTTATTAAGAATTTGAATTTTTCACTGAGTTGAATCTCAAGGGAAAAAAATCTCATTTAAAGAAAAAAATATCAATATTCATCATAGCTGCTGATTGGCAGCAACAAGGGGCAGTTCTAAAGCTTAACATAACCAATCTGAGAACAAGACTGAAGAAAATACAATCACAAAGTTCACGCTATTTTGCTAGTGTCCAAGTTAGTTAAATGCTGTGGTCAGAATGACACAGGCTGTGGCCATATCTATAAAAAGGACTGGTTCCCTGGTTTGCTTCATGATGATGCGGCTGAATGACACCCATCATACAGTGAAAGCTGAACTCAGTACTGGAGACACGGAAGAAGCCAGGTCCACCCGCAGGCCCAGTACTAAAGGCCCATCTCAGGTAACAGATTGCCTCCTTGAAGTCATACCAATGCTTTCCTAGTTTAAAAGAAAAAAACGAAAGCAAGGCAGCTGAAATCACAAGGGGATCTGCTCAACAAGGTGCCTGAACAGCTATTCCCTCAGTGAAAAGTCATTCTGCTAAAACAAATTGCTACCTCCTTGGTAGTTTTATAAGGGTAAGACAAAGAATACTGCTGTGTCTACTGAAAGAAGTTTCCAGAATTGGAGGTCTTACCAGCAAGCAACAAGATGTGGGGTGAGAACATACCCTTGTATGAAGAGATTGTAGCATGATGAAGTCACTTCACCAGTTGTTAGACTTAAGTCTCAAATAATAAACTTACAATAAATATTATACTTTCAAGGAATGGAAACATTTTTGAGCAAAAGGGAAATAATATTAGGTATCCTTCAAGAAAATATGTACCATTATAATATTAAGTCCCATAGCTTAGAGTATCTTATCTCTGGTATTGTTGAGAAGGAACTTGGTTCCACCAGTAATACAGTCCTTTGCCAAGACAGCAGAGAAAAAGAAGGAAAGGGGTAAGGTGAATGTAGCAGGAAAAGAATTTAACTTAAAGGCAAGGCAGGAACATTGCTAATATATATTGTCTTACTTTTCAAGTCTCAGAAGATCTTGTACATATTAGTCTTTCTGGTAGCATTGATTTAATGCTAATTGCTGTTCATCAGTGTTTGTAAGAAAATTATGCTGGTAAAAATATGAGGAAAAAACTGGGTACCACTGGCTCTTACTTGTAATCCTAGCTACTAGAGACAGAGATGTGAGGATGAATTGAAGCTAGCCTGAAGAAAAAAATCTGTGAGACTCTTATCTCCAATTAACCACCAGAAAACCAGAAGCAGAGCTGTGGCTCAAAGTGGTAGAGCACTAGCTTTTAGCACAAAAGTTCAGGGACAGTGCCCATGCCCTCAGTTCAAGTCCCATGACTGACCAAAACAAAAACAAACAACAAAACAGAATGTGAAGTGATTAGCTGCTAATGTTTTATGGGAAAGATCTGCTTTCTCTTATCTAAAAATACTTTCAAGGTGGCTCACATCTATAATCCTTGCTACTCAGGAGAGTGAGATCTGGAGGATCATTGTTCAAGGCCAGTCTGAGCAAAAAGTTTATGAGACTCCAACTAAACCAATAAAAAGCAAGGCACAGTGGTGTGTTTTGTCATCCTAGCTAAAGTTAGTGTAAACAGAAGGAGTATAATCCAGGCTGATCTGGTTATAAACATCATTTAAATTGCAAAAGCAAAAAGAACTTGCAGCATGGCTTAAGTAGCACCTGAGTACTAAGAGTGAGGCCTTGAATTCAAACCCCAGTATCCTCCCCAAATTTTTTAAATTAAAAACCAAAAGTGCTTTCTAAAGCTAACATAAATAATTTTTAGTTTGTGTTATAAAATACCTATCAGTGTATGTGTGTGGGCAGTCCATGCCTGTGGAAAGCACCTTAGACTGTTTTCTGCTAAGGGACTGGAAGGAGTCTATAAACAACTCTGACAGATGCTCATGGAAGTAAAGCACATTTCTGCAGGCACAGCACTCACATAAAATCAGTCACAGGGTAACAGAGGGGTTGAAACAGACACTGTCCAGCATAGGTGAAAAATGTATCAGTTCCAAAGAGCTTCCCGGGAATGGAAGCTTGCCCTACATGCTCAGCCTGAATCTAAGTCAGTTTTAGGCAAGCAGGTGCACACTACTTTAAACTACTGCATAGAGTCCCTTCAAGAGTGATAGTCAGGAAAACCCACACAGAGAAGAGGTGCTGGGAAAGCATGAGTCCCTTTTGGACATGCTAACTTGAGATGCTTCAGATCACAGTGAGGTTAAATGAGTCTAACATTGACGGAAGATCTCACATGCAGATACAAATTGTAGTCATCAGCATTTCGGTGGTGTTTCAAACCATGGAAGTG